AAACGACCCTACGAGCAAACTGGAAGTCACTTCTGGTTTGCTTGTAGGGCCGGTTTAAGCCCTCCAGAGGCTTCAGGGACCTTCAGTAGGCTTCCCTGAAGCCTCCGGAGGGCTTAAATCGACCCTATGAGCAAACCAGAAATCCGTTCCCGAACTTCCGGTTTGCCCATAGGGCCGTTCTTTTGCACTCCAGAGGCTTCAGGGAAGCTCTTGAAGGCTCCGGATGGGGGAGGCTCTTTCGGGGGCCTCCCAGGACTCCTATAAAGCCTCTGGAGCCTGGGGAGGGCGAAAAATGGCTTTAAAAAGGTTTAACTCAGTTGCGCTGAGCCAGCTGACAGGGCAACACCTCACGTGCCCTGACCAATGGCTCTGCATGCCACCTGTGGGCATGCGTGCCATAGGTTCGCCATCCCGGCTCTAGGGTCCAGTATGAGAATAATGATTCTCCTCTAATTTGCAGAGTATACAATGACTGCGAAAAATGCATTGAAAGTTTGATGTGTACAGATAGAAGAGAATATCAGGGTTAAGTTGTGGAGGTCCTTGGTGTTCTCTGAGCTTGGTGGTTTTCTTGCAGAAGTTTCACTACCAAACTAGGTAACAACATCAGTGCTGGGATGGTGACATCATCAGAACACTGATAATGTTACCTCCTTTGGTCATGAAACATCTGCAACCAAACCACGAATCTCAGAGGGCACCAAGGACTGCCTAGTATGAAGTCTGCTATATTAATGCTAAGTGTTATTAATGTTGTTAACTGGTCAACATTCCTCTTTCTTCTCTTCCTCCATCCCAATCCATCTTATCTTTGAACCCACTTTCCCCCTCCCCCCTTTCCACTCCTGCCATCTCTGCAATTTAACACCACAGGTAGCAGATGGCTCCACGGTGGCCTTGGTTCCTAGGCAGGCATCAGGCTACAATATTGCAAGCTCCTTCACTTTCACCCATTCGCTGAGTCGCTATGGTAAGGAATGGCACCTCCACCCCACCCACCCGCCCACCCACCCCGATCGTCACCGTCACAGAGATGCATGTCTGCCCTGAATGACTTGCAAATCCTGGATTTTTCTCCAACGGCATAACCTAACATTGCAAATAAATGCTTAATTCGGTTCAGGTTTGAAGGTACTCTGAAACGTAGCAGGGCTGTTTGTGAGTTATATGTTGCCTGGACCTCTGCCAAAATAGTACATCAGATAGATTGTCCCTGTTGGAAGCACCCTTGGAAAGAATTATTTGTGTTTTAAAGGGTTCCCAGCAGTGGGGAAATTCAAATTTGTTTACTACCGGTTCTGTGGGCGTGGCTTGGTGGGCGTGGCAGGGGGGAGGATACTGCAAAATCTCCATTCCCATCCTTCTCTGGGGGCCAGCCAGAGGTGGCATTTGCCAGTTCTCCGAACGCACTCAAAATTTCCGCTACCGGTTCTCTGAACTACTCAAAAGTTCTGCTACCGGTTCTCCAGAACCTGCTGGATTTCACCCCTGGTTCCCAGGCAAGGGAAGAATCCATGCTTCTTGCCCAAGGAAGAAAGCAGCATGGGTAACAGAGGACGGGAAGGATGGAGTATGGATGTAGATGACCTCAGAGTAGAGTCTTCAACAGGGTTTCCAAGGGAATGTGGCAGTGGTGGGTTTCAAAAATTGTTGGAACCT